AGTCCCACCAAATATATACACATATTTATATAAATATATGTGAGTATACATCATATGTTTATATAACATACATATTATACATATAATTACATAAGATACATATTATACATATGATTACATATAGATACATATCATACACATAATCATACCAGAGGGTACTTGGAGACAGAGTCTTTGTATATGGGACTTAAAGCCTTAACAGGAACAAAAACTATTCAACATCCACCAAATTATTACTGATTAGCTCATTTGTGAAACTGCCCCCTTCCTATCCTTCCAAGTTTTTGTTTCTTTCTAAATGACCAGGCATATAAGGCCTCCAATCTCAAATAGTCTACTTACCTAGCTTCTGCAAAGCATAACTCCATCTAATGTCACTTGTCTCTATAGTAATCAACTAGAAAAAGCTGTTGTGTTAAGCAGTGGCCTTGTACAAGCAGTGGTCTAGCCTACAAATGTCTCAAAGATTTGAGTCCTCTATTGATTTTAACTATTTCCCTGGTAGCAGATAAAGAGGAGTACTTCTAATGAATGGGAGAAGAAAAGGGTTATAGAGAAAAGGATGAATGAAAAATAAAACATGGAGGAAAACAGACTATGACAGACTGATTTCATGAGTATAGAAGGAGCTTAATTTAAGAGGTCAAATATGACATGGTAAAAAAAAAATAAACAGAAGAAACAGAATTAGCAGACATTCCCATACATATTCTTTTGGTAAAAAACAATATGGTACCAACACGAACAAATTGTCAATAATAAACATAATTATGGTGCTTCAGAAAGCTGAGTAATATAATTTGTAGCTATTTAAAGGGTAGTTAACAATACAGTCCAAGTATAGATAAGGGATCAAATATTGCTTACAACTTTGACAAGCATTTAACTTGACGGTAGGTAGCAATGAACGCAGAACAGTGAAGTTTACTATTAATGAAATGGCACAGACGACGGAAATAGGGTACACTTTTTATAACAGACCTGGAAGCATTATGAAGTGCATAAGAATGCATTCCAGAATGTAGTTCCATCCCTCCCACTTCCAGATCATGTCTTTTGCAATAGGCAGCAATTGTAGTACCTCCAATGGGGAAAGTCTCCCAGCTGGGTCATCCTTTCACTCCCAATATATACCTGAGTCAACCTCAGTAACAGGTATTTGTTCCTTAAGAACTCACTAAGTCATTATTACAGTGTATGCCAGACTGTAGATTCTTCCAGGCAATTCTAGCAATCTTATTTCTCTATACATAAAGACCACTTAAAATTTTACAAGATGTGGTAGACACAGAGAGAGGTACTAGGGCAGCAATTAACCAAGTAAGAGCATCAGCACCCTCTTTTGTTATAGGGGACAGTAATACGTCATCTTCCCACCATACTAGGATACTGGGAAACTCAAAAACATAGGCCATTTAAAAGTTCTTTTAAGGGCTGGTGGAGTGGCTCAAATAGTAAGAGCACCTATCTAGCAAGCATGAAGCCCTAAGTTCAAACCACAGTGCCACCAAAATAAATAAAACAAATAAATAGCAAGGAAAACATATTCTTTTGCCTATTTTAACACCACAGGTAAAAGCTGAACCTAACACTTTCTATTTTATACTGAACTTTGTTACCCTATCCTACCTACTAGACCACAGGCCTTTGTATGCTTATCTTTGAATATTTTATGGAACTTAGCTCAAAAATTTCACAGAATAAATGCTCTCTGTACATATGTAATGAATTATTATTAAAATATTTACTGTAGAATTTATTTCACTTAGAAATACCTGTAAACTTCAGCAAATCTCTACATTCTACATTTTTACAGAAAATTTTCAACTATCATTAAATTTTGACATTCTGTTACTAATACATAAAAGGGACTCCTTGAAACTAATAAAGATCCTATGAAAAAACAAGCTGGGGCTGGGGGAAATAGATTAGTGGTATAGCACTTGCCTAGAATGCAGGAGACTCTGAGTTCAATCCTCAGCACTTCAGAACAACAACAAAAATAAAAATAATGCCATGTGAGATTTTTTTCTTTTTAAAACTGGGGGCAATAATACAAATGACTCTTCAAAGATAACACAGTGATAACTACCCCAAATGTAGATCTAAGATTTGAACTAAAGCAAGGAGTTACTCTTCTATTCCTATTTAACTTCTGCAGCAGGCAGGGGCTGGGACTACATTTGATTCCTACTTTCAATACATTTTACTTTACTTTTTCTTCTTGTTTTGTGTGTGATCTTAATTTAACTTTACATTTCAGATTCTTACAAGCACTCTGTAGAGGAGTCTTGGATCCATGGTAGCAAGCTGCATCTTGTCTCCTCAAAACTCAAGTTTTATGCTCAACAATAGATACTTGCTCTGAAGAATGGCTATGGCACGCTACTCCACACTACACCACATCCCCACTAGCATGGCTAAGTGGTCCTCATTTCACACCACACAAAGTTCTCGATAACTGATCAGTATTAGGATTAAATAAATTTAGATTCTCAAATAAGCTTATTTCTCAGTAGGGAAAAAAAGTTTTATAGCTGTAATAGTTCGTTAGGGCTGCATAAAAAAACTCCAAACTGGGTGGCTTAAACAATAGAAATTTATTTTCTCCCAGTACTAGAGGCTAGAAGATCAAGGAATTGGCAAAGTTGGTTTGTTTCTTCTGTATTTGACTTGCAAATAGCCACCTTTTTGCTACATAGTAATAGGGTTCTTCTTCTGTGAATGTGTGCTCCTGGTGTTTCTTTACATGTCCAAATTTTTTCATCATGAGTACACCAGTCAGACTGGATTAGGGAGTACCTTAACAACTTAAAAGGCCCTATTTCCAAATACAATCACATTATTAGGTACTAGATGTTAGCGCTTCAACATACGAATTTGGGGGAGACATAATTTGGCCTATAACAATAGCTAACTAGGTTCAGTTATTTTCTACCTTAGGTACTAGGTTAGGCTTTACTCATCTTTAAAGCCAAATAATCTTTCAGCCATTTTTACCCCAGGAAACTGTTGAGAAGTGATTTGGGGATTACATTCCACACACCCCTTTAAGCTTCATGTAGAATTCTTTGGGTACTTGTTACATGAAGACATTCATAGTGACCCAACTGTTGCAGTATTGTTTTCTGTTTGGTAGTCATTGGTCCTATAGGTTGCTTCTGAAATTAGACAGACGCTTTTACAATTTTGGTTTGTTTTGCTTTGGTTTTTTGTTTGATTTTGATTATTCTTAAAAGGTATTGTTCATGGTGAGGAAGCACTGGAGTAAGTGCTCAGAGGTCCTTTAATATTTTTGATGGGCAGTAATAAAATCACTAATCAGAGAAGCAGTATGAGAGGCATGCAGCTGATCCTAGCAGTTTCAAAGTGAATTATTATGGAGATTTTTTTTTCCCCTTAAATACTGCTCTATATGACCTGTTACTTTTAAGACATCTCATAACACACCTATGTTCGAATGGCAAAATGCATTTAACAAGCATGCCATTTTTATAAGAAATGAACTGGAATCTCCTCGAGTACCTACAATAATCAGAGAACTACATATACCAATCTCAAAGGAGTCATGTTTTAATCTTCAAATGGTCATTCTATCTTACATATCCAGTATGTCTTACAGCAAAGAGCACTTTTTACATTATTTTGGCTAATATCAAGACCAGCACTAATAGGAGTGAAGAGGGTATTGTTTACCAGTCATAGTAATCTGATTCTACTACCTTAGCATGACTCTTTCATGTTCACAAACTACTGGTCTTCAAAAACCTCTCTGGTAGGCACTATTTGAAAACAAAATGGGACTCCCTGCACTCTTAAATGTGGGAAGACCTGATATTAGACGTTCCATATCAATTTCAAATGATCAGATGACATCTTATCATATCACCTACTTAAATATGAACGATGCCCAAAGAATGACCGACTAATCAAAATTCTGGCTACTATACTAGAAAAGTCTTCTGGTACAGATGATACTTAAAAATAATTTTCACTCTTAATGTTAGTCAAGTTCAGTGGTTTCATTTACAACAGCTAAGAAAAAAATGATAGTTTATGAATAATAGATAAACCTTTATACCATCCTTATTTAGCAGAGAAACAGTTTAAGGTCACGTGTTAAAGCTCTCCCTTTCCTCACAATGGTAGTCAAGCAAGAGGAATCCACATTTGCTCGGCTTAGACTCGAACTGCTTACACGCAAGGAAAGATTCCTCAGAATTTGTTGTGCTACAAATTTTTATCTACTAATGGTTTAAGTTACACATTTTTTTGAAGAGCAAATGTGTTGGTATGCCTTTGTTTTCCTTTTCGTCTTGATACATTTTCTCTTTTTATCTTCCTGCCATACTTCCCAAACGGCAGAAACCTGAGATGTAGCTGATCACATTTCTTTTTTTTCCTAATTCTAGTAGTTTCCAGGTCAGGGGTGGGAAGAAGAAAAACCAGGTGCAGCCTAAAGATTTACTATTTAGATTTTCCAAGCAAAGTGTGTGTGGAGAATCATCTCACCCTTCATTTTGTGTGTATTTAACTAACGGCGCTATCGTGCCTAAACGTAGACACACTAGTCAAGAACTCGATTTCCAAAATGGCTTTGCTCCTTTCGAGCTGACACGGGTCTATAAAATGATATTTATTTCCACTGCAAAAAACCCTTCTCTCTACTCCAAGTATTACGGGACACATACAGCTATCTGAGCGCAGATAACCAAATATTATATGCTAAACTCAGCAGAACCGTTGCACGGATGCAAAATGAGCGTTAAAAGGGAGGGGTGGGGGGAGATCAACCAAATAAACCCAAAAGCCCACACCAAACACACCGCAGGAGAGATCGCGCCCTCCCGCCTTCTACCCGCCGTCGCCACGCCCCCACCTCGACCACGCCCCCTCCCGTCCCCGCCGCGGCCACGCCCGACGTGCGGCGCGGGAGTCGCCGGGCCGGGGGCGGGGCCTGCGCCGCCCCTCCTCCCGCTGCCGCCGGTGGCGGCCTCCGCGCGGGCCTCCCAGCCCGTATTCCACTCACTTTGTTCTCCGCCTTTGTCCTAATCCACACCAGCAGGTGGAGCCGCAGTTAAAGTTTCCGAGTCCATTTCGCGAGCGGGAGCCCATCTTGCTCGCCGCTGAAGCCCTCGCTGGAGGAGGAGGGTCAGAGATCGGGTGCAGCCAATCGCGGGCAACGCTGCTAGTTAACAGAGCAGAATGGGCTGTAGTTTAGTGAAATAGGAAAGCTGCAAAACACTGTGGAGTGCTCCCGTGTAAATAAAAAGAGGAAAAAAAAGTTTCTCAAGTCGCCGCTGCACGACGTCGGGCCGGCACCGGGGCGGGGGTCTGCGCTCTCGGAGCGGCCGCGCGCTGGACTTTATTGTGCCGCAACGAGCCCGATCCCCATTGTTTGTGTTTTTTTCAAAATATGGCAAAGGTTCAGGTGAACAATGTAGTGGTGCTGGATAACCCTTCTCCTTTCTACAACCCGTTCCAGTTCGAGATCACCTTCGAGTGCATCGAGGACCTGTCTGAAGGTGAGTGGCGCCGCCGCCGCCCGCCAGGCTGTCAGTTGCGGTTGCAGACGTTGAAAGTTTCCCGGGCCCGGTCTCGCGGGGGCGGCCGGCGCGGCGCGGGCGGGCGCGGGCGGCTCCGCGGAGGGAAACTTGAAGTTGATGGACGACGGCCGCTGAGGCGCGCGCAGGTCCAGCCGCAGCCCGGGCGCCTGCCTGGGCTCAACTTGAGAGCAACTTGTTCGGCGGAGGTAGCCATGTTGTCAGCTTTGTCTGGCGGGCGGCGGGCGGGCGGCGGGCGGGCGGCGGTTCGCGAGACCCGCACTCGCACGCGCGGCGCCGGCGGCGGTCGTACGAGGCTGGCCGTGCGCGGCGAGCAGCCTCTGCGACCCTCGCGCGCCGAGGGGAGGCCGGGCCGGGAGCGGAGCGTGTGTGGTCGCGCCGGCTACTTAGGAGCGGAGCCATCTTTCCAGAGAAGAGAATTGGGCCGGCGACCCCGGCGTCACGACGCCTCCTCTGCCCCGCCACGGGTGGCGAGCGCGGCGCCCCGCCTGCCCCTTCCTTCCTGCCCGGAGCCCCAGGCAGATCCATTTTTAGAGCTTACGGGAAGGTTGCTGTCCTCCCGGGCTGGCCGTGCCGGCCGCGTTGGGAGGGGAGCGAGCTGTCCTCGCGCTGATTTCTGGCTCCCTCGACCAACCAGCGGGCAAGGCGGGCGCAGGCCCGGCCCCTCCGCGCCGCGGCTCCCCCGGGGCCGCGTCCTCTCCGGCCGGGAGCCGGCGCCCGGGATGCTGCGCCGTGCGGTGCCGAGCGCCGCCGAAGATGCTGCGGGCAGCATGCTTTCCGCGCGGGGGGGGCGGGGGAGCGCACGGCCAGCCAGGAACTAATCATCCCGGGGCAGAACGCCCAGGAACCGATCCTCAGTCCTGCACCGTGCGGACCTGACCTCGAGAGCGTGCTGACAGCTGAGCAGAGTAACGCCCGCTGCACACCCCGCACGCCCCAACAATTGCTAGTACCTTTCCTAAATGCGTCTTAACGTCTTCAGAAAAAATTAGTATTTTAAATACGTGCAGAAATACAATAAGCTACACAAAGCTAAAACTTAACACTTATTTTACTCTTAGGTTTTATTAAATTTAGTGATTTATCTTCAAAATTTAGGGGGAAAAGTTTAACCCATTCAGTGTTAATTTTACAATAAAACAGAGAACATCTTTTGAACTTCCAGGTACGTTTCACAAAATACATTTTGAAGTATTAGGCTGATCCTGGCGTGGTAAAGCATTTTGTAGTTTTAAATTAGTATTTAATCTATAAAAAATGTATTTTATGTAGGGTGTTAACTTTAATTATAAAACCACTATGTGCTCACTTCAATAAACTTTTTAAAAAAGTTGTACAAACATGTAAAGTAACAGTCCTCTACTCAGTACTTCTTTAGTTAACCACAATTGACACTCTAATGTGCTTATTGTTTTATAAAGCATAAACGCACATATTTTATATGTGGGGCATATTTTGAAGGATGACTCATTAAAATATAAAAATCTGTAAGCTACAGATAATAAAAACTAAAAGATTTTTCGTATTATTCTGAAGCCATTTGGTTACTCGCCTATAGTAAGCATTTCAACTTACAGCCACTTTTTTTCTGTCAATTTTATATACAAATGGACAAATACAAGAAAAAACATTGACCAGTCCATTCCACTATATAGTACTAGAACTTCTTCACATTTTTATTTCTCAACTGATGCCTTCCATTTTAGGAGTCAGTTCTAAATAAGGAAGCTAGATAATTCAGGAGGTTAGAGGGCCTCTAAGTTGGATAGTTTGTGTCCTGCCATTCATAGATCTATGTTCCATTTTTAACTGGGATCCCTTCAGAACCCAGCTCAATCATCACTGATGTCAAGAATACACCACCTTCTACTGGTACACTTCATCCAGGGCACCATTATTTTAAAGTATTTTAAGCTGAGTCATTCCAAAGCTGCAAAGGAATCTTTGAAAAAGGTGCCACGACTGTGTACTCCACCTAGAGGCTGTGTGGATTAAGGAAGTTTAAGTTTAGATAGGAAAGGCTCTTTACAGGGTCCATACTTTTATACTATGGCTTAAAAAAAAAAAATCTGTTCTTGAAATTAAACTACAAAATATGAAGAGAATTTTCAGTTTGTAAGTTATTTTGTGTCAAGTCCCAAACAACTGTTTAGCCACCATTTTTCATAGTTCTCCAAATATTTTCACTTTTCTTTAAAAGGTGCCCTGTAACTTTGGTTCAGAAGAAGACTTAAGTAGTATTTGCTTATAAGATAACTCATCTGTTTCTAATACAGGGTTTATATCAGGGAGTAGAACAACTGTTAAAAAAAAAAGTCAGAATTTAAGCAGAGGCTTTATTGTGCTTGATCTGATCTGATGGGCCACCAGATGTACATATATTTGATTGATCTGCCATTTAAAAGTATGTATCAAGAACTATAGCTACTGATGGTTGCATATTTAAGATGCACCAGAATTGAGCTCAGTGCTTTATACTTTGAAACTTCAAACTTGTTCTAATTCAAAAGGCAACATACTTTCTACAGGTCTTTCCAATAGTGTAATTAACTTAAAATTCTCTTGGTGAAGTCCCTCACTCCCACCACAAATGGAGATACTTTCAAACTGGGATTACCACAATTAAATGAAACAATTAGTTAACTTTTTAAATAAATGAATAAGCTCCTGGACAATTTGTGTAAAACTGCTGGCTGACCTTCCTCTTTTAAAATACGGAGGGCTGGGGAATGAAACCTAGGTTAAAAAAATATAAAACAACTGGTGCTAATTTACAAAAGTAAGTATTGACCCTTTGAAACTCAGTGGCTATGACGAGCAAACACTCAGTGTAAGGTGTTCCTTGAATTACAGCTTGTACTCCCTCATGTTATCTATTCATTGCAGGTGTGTTTGCCCATCCCTCCCCTGGGATTACATTTGAGTGCTAGAAATGGCAATTTATCATCCCACTTTTTTTTTTTTTTTTGAAAGGAGCTGAGGCTTTGGAGTTGCAGCAGCATAGCTTGGATTCTGATTCTTTGACTTATAAATTGTTTTGAGTATAAGTTTTTACTTAACCTGAGTCTAAACTTTCCTGTTTACATAATTATATAATACACAATGTATAATATATGCATATTTTAAATCCATATGATAAAGCTGTTGAGGTTTAAACAATGGTGTAAAGTTGCAGGATCAATGCCCAACAAATGATATTTTATAAACGTAGGTTTAAAATCATGGCTATATTCCTATGGCAAGCCACAAAAATGCTAACTAAATTTATACCACTTTGGAGTCACACATATACAATACATATGAAATTAACAAAATTTTATGAAAATGTGACAATTCTCAGTCTTATCCTCCTTTGGCTAGTTTAGTAGCTTTCCTGCTCCTTTTTTTTTAAAACAGCTTCTTCATTTGGCTTTTGGATCACCCTCATTGATTGCTAGTTTCCTATCCTACTTTTGATTTTTCTTCATCTTCTTGACATTTCAACCTTGGAGAACCCCAAAGCTCCTAGAAATTCCATCATATGGCTTTACATATCACTGTCAGTTTTCAAATTTTTATCAGCTATGCAGTATCTCTTCTCAAACAACTAGTAAATGTCTCGGACATGTGAAAATCCTGATCATCTTCTCTCTACTCACTTCATTCCCTGCACAGTACATGCTTCTTGCTGCTTTCATCTCCAAAGTTTATCATGATGTAACTGCTTCACACCCCCATGACCACACATGATCCAAGCCACCATATTTCTTGCCTCATTTATTGAAACATGCTCTGTTTCCTTGCCCGCTTATCGAACAGAGCAGTTATAATGCTCCTTTAAAATGAAAGCTGCATCCCTGTTACTTATCTCAAAAGCTTTGTGATCTCCCTAGCTTTGGGCTAGGATTATAGCTCGGTGGTAGAGTCAGTGCCCAGCATGTTCAAAGCTCCAGGTTTGGTTCCCAGCACAGTAAAAAATAAGCTTCAATGGCTTCCCATATTACTCAGTGTAAAAGCCAAAGTCCATATGATGGCCTTCAAAACCTTTCATGATCTGGCCATTCCTTTCTTCCCCAATGTTAAGGTTGGTTACTTTCTCCCTTGCTCATTCTGCTCCAGTTCAGGCCTCCTTGCTTTTTCTTAAACATGCCAAGTATGTTCCTATCTCTGTTACTTTGTATGTACTATTCTCTCTAAACTAGATACCCATTTCGCCTGCTTCCTATCTCTATCAACAAATAGGTGATCTTGTGTGAGATGTCAGATGCGGACCCTGCATCTGGAATGTGCTAAAGGCTGAAATGTAAGTGGTCTTAGTCTAAGATAGGACTGTGACAAAATAGGTCCTCAGAAAATGACTGACTTTAAGAGAAAACATAAACTTCAAGGAGCTTTCAGTTTGATAAATTGTAATTTATAATATAGTGTGAATAAATAGTAGCTATACTATTTCTCATGAATTTAAGGAACAAAAAATATCTACACAGTCACACAAAAATGGCACTAACTAGATTGTCCACGAGTGTTCCAGACACATGTTGGGCATGCTCAGTATAGTCTCAGGGTAATGAATTCAAGTGGCAGGCCACATATGCTAAACACCCTAAGAGAAGGCTCCTTTAAACAGCAGTTTTAACTCATCTCTGCATTCTCTAAGTACACTGTAAAAGGTGCTCAATAAATCTGTTAAATTGAATTACATATAAAGTTCATGCCCATCTCCACTGTTTATATTGTTGTATCAAGACATGTAAAGGTTTGGTTTCCTCTTCAGTTTAAAGAATGCATGACAGGAGTGGGTACCATGAAGAACAAAATTCCTTTGTGTTCTTTAACTGTAGTTGGTGTAGTTAGTAGCAGGCATCAGTAGTTACAACAGTAATACACCTTTTTAGTTTAGGGTATCAGCTATGAGGATCTTATGATGATACAACAAAACAGTAAAGCTAAAGCCCTTTACTTCTGAGTCACAATGGAGGTTTCCTAATGTGTTTTTTTCACTTTGGAGTCTTATGATTTGGATCTCACAGGGCTGTTCTTCCAGTGTGTTGAAGTTGTTAAAAGATGGCAGATGTCATACAAAATGGGTAGAGAGATTCCAGGGAATAAATATAGAAAATGCTGGATTAATGTTCTACTAAAGAATGTCTTAGAACACTTACTAACATTTACGAATCCTCAAGACAAAGTTTATAGCATTTCCTAAATTTTTGATGTTTTATTTGTGAGGAACACTATCTAGGAACCAGTGTTTCACAAAGAGCATTTTGAGAAATTCTGGTACAGACTGGACCCTAGTAAGAATTTTATAAGGAACATTTCAGCATTTATGGATTTTTTGTTAAGAGAAGCCACTTATCAGCCAATAATGGTCAAGTGGACATTAAAAGAGACTTTGATGTCATCTGGTGATGTAATTACTGATATGGAAAATTTTTTTTTAACCCTAGATTTGGAATGGAAAATCATCTATGTGGGCTCTGCAGAAAGTGAAGAATATGATCAAGTTTTAGACTCTGTTTTAGTGGGCCCTGTTCCTGCAGGAAGGCATATGTTTGTATTTCAGGTAAGATTAATGTTGATAAATGTATATGCCAGATATGTTTCTAGGTAGACTAAATTATCTCGTGGGTCTTATCCCTTTGTTTTATATCACTCTGCTTCAAGTGCTTTTCTTTTAATCTACTTCAGTGTCTGTCATACAGGAACTGCACTTATTGGTTTTTCTGGTGGTAGATGTTGATATGATGCTTGCTTCGTGGAGATGCATAGTACACTAAACCTTAAACTGTATCCTGGCATACACAGTGGTTAATTTTGGGATCTTCCTGTGGAACAGATATTGAAGATGTCTATCCATTAGCCTAAAATATGGATTCAACTTGCTTACCATTTAGTAATGTGTATCAGTAGTAAGAGTACCTAGAGGAGTTAGTAATATGCATCTTCAGTTTATGGTTTCAGCCACTAAGAGTGATGATGATATAACAGCAACAACTTTATTTCAGCATAATCAGTATCTGAGCTAAGCTAACAGGCATGTTAGTTCACAGAGATATGTGAACTTGGGTCATGGTGTCTTTTTTTCCCTGAACTCAGGGCCTACACTTTGAGCCTCTCCACCAGCCCTTTTTTGTGAAGGGTTTTTTTGTGATAGGTTCTCTCAGAACTATTTGCCTGGGCTGGCATTGAACTGAGATCCTCCTGATCTTTGGCTCCTGAGTAGCTAGGATTACAAATATAAACCACCAGCATCCGGCAGGTCATTGTGTCTTAAATTTTGGTCTAAATACTTTACAGAGGCTGAGCACTGCTGCCTCACGCCTGTAATACTAGCTACTTGGGAGGCAGAGATCAGGAGGATTGATGTTCGAAGCCAGCCCAAGCAAATAGTTTGCAGCACCCTATCTCGAAACTCCCCAATACAAAAGAGGGATGATGGAGTAGCTCAAGTGGTAGAGCGCCTGCATGGCAAGTGTGAGGTCCTGAGTTCAAACCACAGTACCTCGAAAACAAAAGAGCAACAATGACTGAAACAAAGCAAAAAGCTTTATAGAGGACTATTGTTGTAAATATTGAGGGGGAAATTCTATTAATATAAATTATGTTCTCAGATACCACTGACGGTATTTGAGTCTGTGCCAAGTTTTCAACATTGTCTTTGGTATGCAAAAAGTGTTATTTCTTCTAACTCATGTTAAATTGCTGCATAAAATAATTTAGTAATTTTTCAATTAACCATGTTTCTTAAAGGAAGATAGAATACTTCAAAGAGTAATTAGCCATAGATTTTTAAAATTAGCTTTTGTTATAAGTACTTCTACCTAAAAAATCCCACTGAAAAGGCTTAATCTACAAAGAAAATTTCACTTATCCTATCCCTGACCTCTGTTTTCTCACTTCAGACCAGACTAATCTCAACAAATAATAATAACATCAGAAATGGGTAAAGAACCACTGAGCTGCATGCTAGCTCTAGAAACTCGGCCTTTGCCTCTCCTTTGCTAAAGAGAATTCAGAATCTTTGTCTATTAACTGTTAGTGCTTTTTACTAGGAAAACCAACAGATAATTTAGTTTGTCTAAACAATTGATGAAGACAAAGCTTAAATGTACTAATTAAAAGGGTCAAGTATGTTAATTAAAAGTGCTGTTAACTTAAGTTGTGCGAGTACATAGCCTTGTGAATGCCCTGTTTTGTTCTGTAGGAGAAAGCACTGAAGTCATAGGCTGGGGTCAGATCCCGGTGCCTGTGCTTATTAGCCATGTGTGACTTTAGACAAGCTCTCTAACTGCCGCTAGTCACGCCACTCATCTATGCAATGTAGATAGTATCCTACCTCATAAGAATGTTATGGGGAATATAATAGGAAATCACTGACTAATCTAATTATGCCTGTAATTAGATCTAAATTTTTAGTCTTAGTTTCTTAAATTTGTTATTTAAAGAAGCAAGATTTGCTCTCACCCATAACCCTAAGGAACCCATACAGTACTGATAATTCTTGAATGCAGTAAAAGAAACTGGGGTTGACAATACAGTCATACATACCTTTTATGATACTGTAAAAATTTACAAATGCTTTGGTTTCAAAATAAACCCTTGGAAATCTTTTCTGTTTATGTTAAGAACACTCTTCCTAAGCTTTTGACTTAGATTAGAATAGTGTAGGAAAAAACTCAGTCATACATCCTTCCTTATAGTGACAAGTAGCTTTACCTTGGTATCATTGTACATGAGGATGAAAAGAACAGAAAGCACAGTGTGATTTAGAGCCTATGTTTAGCCTATGCATTTTTCAGAATTCGTCATTATCAACAGTAAGAGACGAAGGTATAGTTTTCATTCTGGTTTTAATCAAACTTCCATAAAAATTCTGGTGTGCCATGATGGTGCTCCTCAGATTTGCCTCTCTCACAAATGGGTCAAAGACTAGCAGGAAGATGTTTAGACATTTGCCCAGTATTGCTGACTGGGTTAAAGATCTCTACCCATCACTGCTCCATCATAAGTGATCTGAGAGGCTTGCAAGGTTTTCTACTCAAATTTTTTCAAGCTGACCCCTTTGGCAAACAAATTTTAAAACACAAACGTGCCTAGAACCAGTATTCTGGGTTGTGGGAGAGTTCTCAGAGCATTCCTGAGCTATCTGTATTTCCCATCTTTACCCACTTCCAGGTACATGAGAATCCCTTTGGGTATCATGGAAGTAACCTAACCCATCTGGGAAGGGGATGCATAGGATCTCTAAGACAGACAGCAAAGAGATCTCAAACCCCTTTAGGGCAGGAACTGAGTAATGAGTAAATTTCAAAATAGTAAATGCTCATAGCTGTACCAAACATGAGATTTTTATAAAGATGAACTGAACTGGACTCCTACCATGGATAAAGCTTAAGAGTAGCAGGGGAGACAGTAAACATTTAGATTGTTAGGCATATGTTAGTAGAGGATTTGTGTCAGGTAATATAAGCACATAGAAAAGGAAGCTGCTACCTTCTCACTTAGAAAGGGCTTCACTGAAGATAAAATTAATACAGACTTCAAAAAATGAACTTTCCATAACCATATTATTTTTTTTTCCCAAAAAACCCAACTATTGATAACCCAAAGTCATTGTGCTGAGCTCTTACCCCTGTATTTCAAGTAATACTATTCTTCGTATCCTAAGTCATCCTTCTTAGGTTTTCATTTACTTTCTTGGCTGCCAAAAGTCTGCCATTTTTCTGTCTCCTTCCTCTCTGTCAGGCCATCTGAGAGGTCATTTTTCTTCTCTTTTTTTTATCAGTGTATCTTAATTGTACAAAATAGTGGGTTTCATTTTAACAGTGACATATATGTATATAAAGTACTTTGACAGAATTTGGCCCCCCAAATTCTCAAAAAAAAAAGATGAATTTTTCAAGATGCAAGAGAAAGACCTTTTAGGCTGAAGAAACACTTTGAAGCACAGAGGCATGGAATGTTATCCGCACATCTGTAATTCAAATATGTAGAACAAGGATGAGAGGTATGGGGTTAAAGGAGGTGTGAACGGGCATGTTGGTTGGGAGACAAATTAACTTCAGAGATTTTTATTCCTTAGAAATAAACATCTGAGGTTTGAAAACTAGGCAAAGGGATAGGAAAAGATCTGTGTTCAGATGCTGGTAGTAGTATAAATGAAAGGATAGAAATGGAGAGACAAGTTAGAAGATTTTGGCAGTATTCCAGATGAAAGATGAAGACATGAACCCAGCCTTTATGAATGAGAAATGTTGAGACTGACTAGATGTGGTAGACAGGGAAACTGAAGGTAACTGAGATTTTTAGATTAGATGACTATGTGTATGTTTTCTGCCCTTTAGTGTCATCTACACATGGTGGGCTGATAGTAAACATTAGTCTTGCATGTTCTCAAGCTAAGGCATTGAAAATGCTCAGCTAACCCCACCATGTTCCTTGGTGCCCTGGCAACAGTAAGCTAATTTGCTGGGATTTTATCTACTTATTACTCAGAATAGCTGCTTCAGGTCACGCACAGGTGCACTGGCCATCACTGCCTGTATCTCCTCAGAATGTGGCTCCACTCAGTCATTCTTTACTATCTTGCACACTGCCCTGGACATGGCCCTAGCCTTTTCTCATGTTTCTTAGCCTCCTCTAGCTCTCATTTCACTTTCTGCATTCCTCAAGGCTTAGCATGATTCAAAATAATGTCTTTGATATCATCTGCCTAAAAGAATCTTTGCCTTCGTGAATTTCCACCAATATGTGTGGCTCAAACACTTTGCCTAGCAAAGTGATTATTATTTTTTCAAAATCTGCATAGCTTTTTAAATCCCACTGTTAGATTTCTTTCTTTCCGTTTCTTTTTTGCAGTGCTGGGGATCAAAGCCAGAGCTGCATATGTTAGGCAAACACTCTTCCACTGGGCTACTTTCCCATTTCTTTATACTAATTTACTATTAGAATATCTGTGAGGGCTGGTTGAATGTGTATGAAAAGTGTCCTGAGTAGAAAAGGGAAACTGGCATAATAAACATTTGCTTCTTGGCCAGGTGTTGTGGCTCACACCTATAATCCCAGCTACTTGGGAGGTAGAATGGGAAGGATTATGGTTCAAGGCCAGCCCAGGCAAAATGTTAGCAAGACTTCATCTCAACAATAAAGTTGGGTATGATGGTGTACTACTGCCCTGTCTTCTCAGCTATGTGAGAAGAATGAGTAAAATTGTTGTCCAAAATGATTTGGACAACAAATGTGAGACCCTACCGAAAAATAGCAAGCAAAAAGGGCTGGGAGCAGGGCTCAAGTGATAAAGCCTACTTTGTAAGAATGAGGCCCTAGGTTCAAACCCCAGTACCATAAAAAATAAAATAAAATCAACCCCTTCCAAAAGGCTATATGGAGATAATTTGATATTAATTTAGGTCTAAAAACATGACTGGCAAAGTTAGAATTAATACAATTTGATGTTTAAATATTTCATAAGAGGTTTTATATTGAATATTATATAGTCTCTTGAACCACACACACCATACCCAGAATTATTTCCCTCTACAAATGCACTGATGCTTGTAAGTACTGTAGGTACTTAGGACTGCTGTAAAAAAACATGAGCTGTATTTTATACGTATAAGCCAATCTCAAAAAATCATTTTTCCATCTCAATATGATTTCCAAGTTTTTGTTGCTGTACCTTCAGCTGATATGCTAAGATAATAAACTCTAGCCTTGCCTGTCATTGACAGCCTTTTTTGTTTCTTTTCTTTTTATATTATTTTAGGCTGATGCACCTAATCCAGGACTCATTCCAGATGCAGATGCAGTTGGTGTAACAGTTGTGCTAATTACTTGTACCTATCGAGGTCAAGAATTTATTAGAGTTGGCTATTATGTAAATAATGAATATACTGAGACAGAATTAAGGGAAAATCCACCAGTAAAACCAGACTTTTCTAAGGTAATGTTTTTACCATTCCTTTTTAATTACTTGTAGTATAGATTGTTTAAGGCAGTTGCTGTTTCATAATACACTATGAAAATGGCTTTGAGAGAAAATAAATTTGAAGTCCCTGTGCCACCTGGGCAAACTAATCATTCCATTATCATGGATGACCTCAAATCCTACCTCCACAAGAGTCATTACTAATTAATGTTGGAGTCTCTAATGGTTTAAAAAAATTAAGTGCCTCCTACGGGGGAAAAAAGGCCTTTGTTTATATAGCTCTCTGTATAGCATTCCCCATATGTCACAATTCAGTTCAGCCTTTAAGATATGGAATTTCTTGCCCTTGGTAATGACTAATTAGTATTTTTGTCTATAACTCTTCCCAAAATTGTGGGAAGAAGTTTTGTGTTTGCTTTTCATAGGAACATAGTTATCTCAGAATGTCCACATGCTGGGGGGTTTAGGGGGAGAGGTGATGGGGACAGTGTAACTAATGTACAATTTAAGTCTAATCAGAATTGTCACTATGAATCCCCTGTATAACGTATCTTAATAAAAAATTTATTAAAAAAATCCATATGCTTTGTTCTATCTGCTATACTTAGAAGTTAAAGTAAAGGTCTTAAAATTTTCTAATGATGAAAAATCTCAGTTCTCCCAACATACTCTTATTTTTCATTGGGAACTGTTAACAGTTTAGTAACTGGTGATTTTGTGAGGATGCAAAAGTACATGGTATGGCACTCTGTCTGCCGTACCATGTACGAACAATTACATGGCCAGTAGACTAGAAATTTCTCCTTTTCCATAATACGGCTGGAATGCTTTTCATACTGTTTGTGGGACCTTCCATTAATCCAGTGTATTAGCTGCCTGTGTGGAACTTTGTATAATAGAAAAGAGAGGAAACTGGATAATGTTTAAGAATGAGCCATAATATTTAAAAGGCAGGAAGCCACTAATAATGAGAAACCATCTTTGGGTGAAGTTGTTCATTTTCCTTAAAAACACATAAAACTAAATAGCATGATTTGTTTAAATAAAACATCCTATAAAACATTCATCTAAAAAAAAAAATCTCCCTTTTAGGAAACAGATGAATGGAGGCTGTGTATTTATTGTTGGATATTGAAAAATGTAGATAAACTGCTTCAGATTCTCCTTTGTACAAGGCTAAGATATATATATTATTATTTATTATGTGTTGTATGTGTAATAATATATTATTAGTTATAAAATGTACGTATATAACTTTGCTAAGTCCTTAGTTCTTATTATTTATGTTTAAAGTGCTTCATATGACGTATACATTTGCATATGAATTTAGCTCTTTAGGAAGACTTACACAAGAATCATTTTGTTAAAATTCTACTTAGCATATGGATAGTACTCTAACTCTTCTAGTGTTGACCATTTATGTATCTTTTTCCTTTAGCTTCAAAGGAACATTTTGGCGTCTAATCCCAGGGTCACAAGGTTCCACATTAATTGGGAAGACAACACAGAAAAACTGGAAGATGCAGAGAGCAGTAATCCAAATCTACAGTCTCTTCTTTCAACAGATGCATTACCTTCAGCATCAAAGGGATGGTCCACATCAGAAAACTCACTAAATGTCATGTTAGAATCCCATATGGACTGCATGTGACAACCTGCCATCCCTTTAGTGCAAACTAAGCTATAAAAACAGAACTATCTCCCTGAAATTCCGTAAGTACATAGTCAAGACACAATGTGAAGAATTTGTTTTAAAACATCCTGTAGAAAGTTTATAAGAAGACCAGTATTTGAGCAAATTGTGGAATATAAATACAACTATTTTTAAGTAATTTTTTTCTCTTATGTGTTATTTTATTTGTTCTGAAACTAATCTGATTAAAGCATATATATTATTTTCTTCTCCTTTAAATGTAATTAAAGCACTTATAAAAAGAAAAATATGAATCATTAGATCAGACTGTGAAAATGTCTTAGCCTTTTGGACAGTAATCTTTGGACCACTAGCCTTTGAAAGAACAAAGTTCACTTCAACTAAAAAGTTTCTTCCTGTGAAGATACACAGTGTGGTTTTAGTTTTAGTTTTAAGGGGCAAAATTCCATTCTTTAATTAAAAGATGCCCTTAAAAAGGGAATTTGAAATCAACTATATGAATACCAAGAATTTTAGGATTCAGTTTTTCTAGGTCACCCTAACATCTTGTGACTGTATGGCTACTGGACAGCATTTAGTTTTGTTTCTAATAACAAATGTGGCTAATGGTTTCTAAGGTCTTCTGACTATTGTTTTGTTTTTATAACAGTTTAGGACATCAGAGCACATGAATTATAAGTCATTATTGTCCAGTGATTTCAGCGTGTCAAGAGCAAATACAAACTCCCAAAACTTAGAGATTATAATGACTCAAATTTGCTGATTAGGTTTATAAAAATACTATGAACTTTAAAAATCTTCTGATCATCTATTATAGCACTTTTTATATAAAAACAGTGGGTTTAGAAAGGTATACATAGCTTTAATCATAATAAGTTACTATTTTGGAAATATGTACATTTTCACACCTGTAGTACGCTTCGCCAAATCCCCTGACACTCAAGAAAAATACAATCAGGCTTATTTGTAGTTGACATATTCTATTCTAGATTGGTTTTCCAGATCACAAGTTTTTGAAAAGCAACCTTGGAAAGAAAGTTATTAATTATGTGAGCCAAAATGTCATTTTTGAGAGCTAGGTACTTCGTTAAAAAGTTTTATGCTCCATTAAATAAAAAGTAGAATATTTTCATTTGACTCTTGTTGCTAAGCAAGATAGCCTATGATCAGGTTATGCAGTGCCTTCATATCTAAAACTTTTATACTGCACTTTTTAAAGCATTTATTTTGAGGAAAGGAAAGGGCATTTGTCTAAATATAGACTCTTAAGGTGTATATATTTCTGTCATTCTGATGTGAATTTGTGAAGCAAAGTTTTGCTAAATGTTGAACTTTGAAATTTAATACTCCAGATTAGAATATTGTCCACTAACTAGATTTTTTTAAGATAAAATACTTTCAAATGTTAAACTATATGTAGAAAAGTTCATTTTTGTCTAATTGCAATTAAAAGAAAATGTTAAAATATCAAAACAAAAATAAAAGTAATACTTTCTAACAAAGAGCTCAGTGATTAATGTAGCAGTAATGAGATACATGCTTGTTAGAAATAAAACATAACATAAGCCAGCTTACCAAATAAAGCAGTTCACTACTGAGTTTCTATTCTAGTTATAAAGTTTACTTTGTAGGGACATCAAAGGGTTAGGTTTCTATATCACTTTATAAAGGGACAGTCAATTTTCACCAAGGTTTGGGACATAAACTTTATTATCTTAAATTCTATGGATTTAAAGTAAAAACTAATGACTGAAAATAGAAAGATTTAGAATTCAAGCATTAAGAACTAAGAACCTAGCATTTAGGGTTTTTTTTTCCCTCCAGTTTAACCTTATTTACATACACTATGTCTGAATTTTAGCTATAAGGATTAGAGCTGTTTTTCCCTCTTTGACTGTAGTAAATTGCTATGTCTGGAGAATATAAACATGAACAAATTACTTATGCCACTGAAGAGATAGGTGAGTAGGTTGGAGGGAATGAAGGCATCATTTTAACTGACAAAACATTCCAGAAATCCGAGGAAGCATGCATGCCTTTGCTCATTCCTAACGTTATATAACCTTAGGTTTTTATGCTGTCTTACCCTGTGGTTTCAGGACTTGTAGTTTCTAATTTTATCAAGAAAGTCTATGGCAGCAGTTTTCAAAGCTTTTTACTTTTTATTTTTAAACTTTAATCATGGTGTAAAGTAAAATAAATCATGATCCTATCCTACTATACAAGTATGTATTTATATTAAAATGTATTTAATGAAAATCCACCCTTAAGTGCACTTTACTGTGTGCAGTATGACTCCCTAGTGGGTTGAGATAGAGAATTTGAAGAAAGACCAATCTGATCCTATGGGTGGGTGAGAAGAAGCAAATTTTTTACAGTTGTAAAATCTGTATTTCCCTCTACCAGTCTTTTTTTTCCTCATATGTGGATTATGATTTTGGCATTAAAAAAAAAAAAGAGGGAAAGTGCTAATACACCTCTACACTAATCCATTAACACTACGAATCAGCAGCCAATCTTTTTGTTTTGTTTTTGGTACTGGGGTTTGAACTCAGGGCCTATACCTTGAGCCACTCCACCATCCCTTTTTTGTGATGGGTTTTTTCTCACAAACTGTTGCTGGGGCTAGTCTTCAATCACAGTCCTCCTGATCTCTGCCTCCTGAGCACTACCAGCACCCACCTAGTAGCCAATTTTTATAAAACTTCCCAAATAGGCTGAAATTACTAGCAACCCACAAGATGGTTTGGACTTCTATGTAATTAGGAAACATTTCAGGTAACCACTTGGGAAACAACTTTATTTATATGTTGTTGGTATCAAGTTATACAGTCTAGAACACTACATAATTTAAGACACAGTGTTCTTTATATTTTCTGTCACTTCCCTTTTAGTATCCTGATGATTGTCCATTCCTCTCAATTTACAAATCCCTTCTGTCATTACTTAATAATAAACTGTTCAGTTATACTTTAAAGCTTGAGAGCCCTTTAACTTACATAGGTGGAACATTTTCTGTTGTATGATAAATTTTAAAGCTTCTCATAAGAAATTTGAGCACAGGCCAGCGAAGTGAGGTTCCCTTAACAAGTAGCAGATAACATCTATAAAATGTTTGAAATAGAGGCCTATTTTTAGAAGAAATATTACTTCAATCAAAACTGTATAAAACTTCAAAACTGCATCAAAACACGTTTTTAAAAATAATTTTCCCTAAATTCCCTAAGTCACCTCATAATTAATATATATAAATATATATTTTTTTGGCAGTACTGGGGTTTGAACTCAGGGCTTTGTGTTTGCTAGGCAGATGCTCTGCCTCTTGAGCCGCACCCCCAGCTCTGTAATCAAATCTTGACATTCTATATTCAAAGACTTTGAAATGTACTTGCTGAAGAATCATTTCAATGTATAAATGAAGCTCCACATTGCATATGTGAAAAGTATGCTTTCTAAATACTAACAGACAAATCTCTGCCTAAGGAGTTTCTCATGCTGTGCATAAGATCTAGGAGCATGAAAATGCCTTAATCTCTATGCCATGTATTTACTTTTGTAAGTGAAATTTCCCCCTATTTAATTTATTTTGATGTTCTGTTTGCATGGTCTTCATAAAATTCCAGGTAATGTATACATTTTTCTTGCATAAATATGTATAAAGGTAATCCCTAAAGAATGAGAAAAATTATAGTATTCAAAACTAAGATGCAAAGATAAGTAAAGACAGTTTTTAAAGTATTTTCTTACATCTATAAAAGTAATGTTACATATTTCCTTCAATTCTTGGCAGAGTAACCTGTAAAAATAGCTTGAAATTTATCGTAGGTACTTTTTTCATAAGAAAAAAAATTATTTAGTAATATTATTTGAAATTGTCATATAAAATACCTGCACTAGTAGATCCGATTCCTGTGGTCAACACAGATCTTGGTGTAATCTTTGCTGCATATTTGAGGAACTGAGATTTCCCTGTGCCAGGATCCCCAACTAGTAAAAGATGAGATTCACCTAGGAAAAAGTAAGTATGTAAAATTTTAAATGTCTATGAAAGGACTCATGAATAAGTGTAGTTAATCTAAAAGAAAATGGTCTACATGGAAATGCCAACACATACAGTATTTTTGATGTATTACTTTTATGTAAGGCCATTTAAGGAAGGATTTCACTAGAAAATCTTTAGAAAAGTTAAGTCATAAATATAACAATTTTTAACTGATTACTAAATATAACATTTAAAATTTAAATTCTATTAATAGATTATGTGCTATTTGGCATATTTAGGCATTTAGATATGTTTAACATATTTAGGCATTTAGATATTTAGGCATTTAGATATGTTTAACATTTTAAAGATTCCTGGCATATAAAGTTTCTGATTTTATTTTTTACCTACTTTTAAATATCAAGTTACTGTGATTAAAGCTTTCCACACAAGTCATGCAAGATTTTATTCTAATTTTATTTAGGTACTTCTTAGTAATGTGGACTTTACAGCCGCTTTATACCTATCAGATCACTTAAGATTATACCAATTAAGTTGAAAACTTTTCATTTTATGAAAATTTGAGTAGCTTAGTAAAATATCTGTCTTAAAATGACTAAGTACTCTTATATTTCAAATGTAACATAAGAGGGCATGTGACTATCCTATGGTATACATTATCTCACTGACCAAACACATTTCTTAAGTAATACTATTTTCTAAATATATTAATAGAAAAACCATACTTAAGCTCAACATTAAGCAGAGTGCCTTCCAAATACTAGGTCATTTAAAAAAAAAAACCCATAAACTTTATAGTTTGTTATTTTTTACTACACTGTATGGTTTTAGAGTCCCTGCTAACAGGCTGATTTACAATGATGTCCTTGTAGTCTTTTGGTTTACTCTTTGGTTATTATGGCTCATATGAGGGACATTCAGGTCAGTTAAGTATGTTAGCTGCAAAAGAGCTTTCTGCCATCCAGACATAATTACACTCTTTGAGTAATCTTTGTTTGACTGTATGACCTATACCAGCATCTCATGGCAGATGGCACATTTGCTATCTACCAGCAGATGGGGAATCAGCAGGCAAATGACTGAGAGCAGCAGTCTGAGCGAAATACACCGACAGTCACAGATGGAGATACCAACCTGGAGACATTAAAATGCACCATTTCTAACCTTTCTTCTTGAAGAGAGACAGGTCCAAAGAAAAACACACAGTAATTGCAATGTAAAGATGTTATTTTGTGGCCCTGTTATAGGCCACAGCAAAAGTATTTAGCCATTGAAAACTTAACGCTTTCTTTTAAACTTTCTGGAATTAGAGAAAGTTGCTTTTGATAAATACAGGTATTAGGCTAAGTATGAGATATTCAGACAACTGTTGAGTTTAAAAGGCTACATTTAGGAAATAAAGCTCAACAAGTAGTTTTTATTCAAGAAAGGAAAAGTCTAGCTTTTTTTCTTGTATATGTTAGCATTTCTCAAGTTTTTATAGGTACTAACCTCTTATCCTGGTTCCTGTAGCATCAGTCCTTTGAATTCCACCAGCCAGCACCATGGCCACAGCAAGCTTTACCAGATACATTCCAAACACTTGAGGGCACAAGCTGGCCAGTATTTCATTCCTCCCTGGAAAAAGTAGAAAGATCAGAAGTCACCAATCTAGAAACCCTAACTAAAATCCCCCTTACTATCCTAACTGACCATCCTCCTACAAACATACTGTTTCTACTTATGTAAAATGATTAAGACGACCAAGTCCAAATAACTAAAGAAAGTAAATAGCTTTGTTTAGGTTCTACTTTTTGTTTTTCTGTTTTTGTTTTTTTGGGACAGGGTACATAGACTGGCCGAGGACTCCCAAACCTCTGCCTCAAGCTGCCTAGTGTTGGAATTCCAGGTATGCACCATCATGTCTGACTCACTTTGTTTAGGTTCTGAAGGTCCTTTTCTTTATGCTATGAAAGGAAAGTCAGGCAGCTATTCCTGCTTAAGGTTCCATAAACTTGTCATACTGCAGAAGGAATATACAAAAAGGAATTTCCTTTCTCCCTTCCCTTTTACCTATCAGGCCAGCATTATTGCGGTAAAGTAACGCAGCCATATTCTCTTATGTGGTAAATTCAGTAAAACTCACTACCTAATTAAAAGGAAAATATTCAGTCTCAGAAATGAGTCAGATTTTAATAACCTTTCAGTAACCTTTAAAGTGGTAGTTGGAGTTTATGGAGCTTCTCTAAAAGTAGAAGAGGAGGAAAGAAGTAAAACCAACTCACCCTGCAAGTCACTTCTGTCTGTTTGGTAAATGCTGTTTTTTCTGGAATAAGTTACTGGGCTTTCAGAGTATAAAGATCATTGCAAAGCCAGGCATGGTGGTACATACCTAGAGTCCCAGCTACTTGGGCAGGAAAATTGTGAGTTCATTCTAACCTGGACAAAGTCAGCAGCAAGACCCTATCTCAAAAACAAGAGCTGGGGGTGTAGCTCAAGTGAGAGTGCTTGCCTAGTATTTGCAAGGCCCCAAGTTCAATTCCCAGTTCTGCAAGGAAAAATATACACACACTGCAAACTACAACCCCTGCAATCCATGCTAGAGAGCTGGAATTCTAATTGTGTGCTTTAAAAAAGTCTGTCACTATTTTAAGTTGTTTTTAGAAATCTCAAAGCCCCAAACCCCAAGAATATGCCTAGCCCATCCATGAATAAACTATTTCATCCAGTCTGTAGCCTTATCAATTGACAAGATTCTAATTAGGCCTTCCCTGAGCCTTTTCATAATGTGTAACCCCATACACAAAAATGTTTTTGTAATGTATTAGAATTGGGGTTTTTTGGTGCTGGGAATTGAACCCAAGGCCTCATGTGTGCTGAGCACATGTTATACCACTGAGCTACACACCCAGCCCTGTAATGAATCAAAGTGGACTCAGTGCTATGGTGATATGAACTGGCAAGGCAGAAATGGGTTTTGTTTTTTTTTTAAATAGAATGAAAAAGGGAAACAAAGAATTAGTAAGTCCAAGAAGTTTGTTAACTGTCAGAGGAAATCCCTCCCTTTAGAGATAGAAAACCTAGAGAGAAAAAGGTCAGAGGTGCAGGTAAAACTGGAGAGTAGATAGGTAAACTCTGAACAGAATCTAGAGATTACACATAGAAAGAATAGGTCCAACAAGCAGGTTCAAGAGTAGGCAAACTGACTCTGAGGCACCTAAGCCAAAACTGTTAAAAGAGTCATCTTTGTTGAAAAAAGGTGGATTCAGTGATGAATGTGCTGACAGGAAGCATATCGCAATGGTAAAAGGCACAGGCTCTGTCTGATCTCATGCCTGGAGGCAAATCCCAGTGTTATTATTTTTTAGGGTCTGTCCTGGGACAAGTTTCTCAACCTTTTGCCTCCCTTTCCTTATCTTTAAAATAAAGAGGATATTGCTATCAAAGAATTGTTGAGGACAAATAGATGTACAGCACATAGAACAAACTGTTCCTGGCACATCTGAGAGCTTCTTAACTGCTGTTTTATTTCCTGAATTGTACTTATTTCTGATTTCAAGGTTATCTCAACTGTAGTCCACACAAAAAACACTATGATGGTATACTGAGTTACCAGAGAAAAGTAAAAGAGAAGGGCCACTATCAAGTTGAAAACATGATTCCTTGGATCATGGCAGTAGAAGTTTCTTGGTTATACCATGGAAGAGGATGCATTAGGGTGAATGCTATCACCATCCCTCCCAAATTTCTGGTTCTAAACCATGTCAGTAAAATGGTTATGACCAAGCTATCCACTCATGTCATGGCCTTTAGTTATTTCAATGAAGAAAATCTCTTCAATCTAAGATAATTTAGTTACTCTGCATGGTTTCCAGATGGTCTAACAGACCCACCAACTCTTATGTTTGGGATTCTATCCAGTATCTAAGCACCATGGCCAAAGGATTCTTGAGGTCAGTGCAGATCAGAATAAAATCCCTTGACTCATCCTAGTAATACCCACAGTATTAAGAATTCAACATCCAAGAGGAGTAGTAAAGTAGCTTCAGCAGCTGGTGGAGTGGCTCAAGTGGTAGAGCATCGCCTAGCAAGTGTGAGGTGCTGAGTTCAGGCCTCAGTACTGTCAAAAAAAAAGTAAAATCTACAAAATTTTAAGAATGATGGAGGGGGTAAATTCAATTATATATTATAAGAACTTTTGTAAATATCACGATGTAATTAAAAAATCTTCAGCATTAGACTAGCAAAAAGGAAATACCCCATTAGATATACCGCCCCCTCTTTACCCCTCTTCCCCCACCAACACACATACATAGTTTGCAATAGTTAAATGTCGTGCAGTAGTGTCCAGTACACAGGAAACTAAGAAAAGGGAGAATTAACTCACTTAAAAAGAAAAATGTTTCTCATTTTCTCACTGTCTTCCCACTTATATTCTTAGAAGGTTATGTTTACTTTTATGTAATAAATGAGTTGTAGAGCAATAGCCTTCTAATTTAAGCAAGACAGTCTTCCATCAACAGCACAAAAAACTTCTAACGGTCTGGCTAGATAGAGTAGTATATGATGACCTTCCTTCACCATTACAAGGTAGAATTGAGCTGTGGTTCTGGAATGAATAAGGAACAAATGTGGTCTAAAGAACAGTTAGAAATTTTATAAGGTTCTGAACCTATGAAACTTTTCAGTTAAAAAAAAATCACTTAAAAATGTATGTGATTCTCAAAGCACTTGCTGCTTAAAGCCTCACTTGCTGCTTAAAGCCTAGGGAACTTTGGGCTCTTTTCTATATAGATCAGATAAGGGATCAAGAACTACTTATATGTGTTATACAGGTTCAAAAAAAATCCCATAAAGTAAAAACAAGTGGTTCATATTTAACCAACTGGAGGCCTTATTTTGTGAGTATTTATCTAGTTTAGCACATAATTTAAGAATAAAATAACATATTTGAGGCAAAGTTTATTAGAATTACGTCTCTCAGAAGATGCATCTGAGGAAGAATAAAAGCAAGGAAGATTTAGCTGGTATTTTATACATTTGGGATTTTTCAATAGAAAACATGCTCTACAGACTCAAAGGTTACAGTATTTTACTCTATGTAATTGCATCTTAGGTGCAGTCGAATATTTTGTTCTGATGACAAAGATTATTATTTGCATATTCTATCACATCATCCCTTTCCTATTTACTCCATTTTAAAGTCTTCAATTGAAACAGTAGAACGTTGTCTTTACTATCAAAAATACATTAGAATCTGGGCTTGGTGGTTCATGCCATAATCCTGGCTACCCATCCAAGCATTTCAGTCAACAAAAAGCTGGGCATGGTGGTGTGTGCCTGTCATCCCAGCTGTGTGAGAATTGTAAACAGGAGGATTGTGGTCCAGGTTAGCCCAGGTATAAATATGAAACTATTTGAAAAATAGCAAAAGTAAAAAGGGCTGGGAGCATGGTTCAAGTGATAGAGTGCCTGCCTAGCAAGTGCAAGGTCCTACCCTCAAATCCCAGTACTGCAAAAGAAAACAACTATACCTCTAATTGGCAAAGAAGGTAGGAAAATCTGTATGGGTTTTGGCAGTACAACAAGTGTTTAAAGTAATAATTAGAAACAAAAACTCTCCAGGAAGGTATCTCAGAAGAAAAGACTATATCCCAGAAAAGGACATCATAGGAAGACTACAAGAGATACTGATTAATGCTACACTTTGAGCTGAGCCATTGGCTCACACAGCATGTAAGGCTATCTGCAAATTACAGACGTGATTCATGTAACTACTGAATGTAACACCATTAATAACTATGAGCTTTATGTCCTTAAATACAAACCTGCAAAAGGATCGCTCTTGTAACGGTCCCAAAAGTCTTCAAATTCCTTTCGGACTTCCTCATCTATAACAGTTCCTGAAGACTGCTCATTATTTACTTGGACAAAGTTGGCTTTCAGGACTATCTCCACTTCACAACGTACATCTTGCTGAAGAGGCTTCCACCGTTGCATTACAACCCCATAGACAGTTAGGTCATCACCTGGGAAAAGGTACCAAGTGAGTCCAGAAGTAGCATTATGAGTTCTGGGCACAGACATATTACAAAGGACCAGGAATTAGAAACAAACCACTCCCATCCTGAGGTTTAGAGTGTGTACACTCGTCCAAAAAGTAATTAGAAATTTGGGGGCAAAAGAAACCCCTCCCCCAAATTCTTGACTTTTTCAAACAGGCACAGCTAAAAGCTGAAGTCAGCATTTTATTCTTTATCTGCTACATGAAAACCACATCAAAGTACAGCCCTTCACTGGGAATAGTTTTCTGGATGATTTATTCATTGTTGTTATGTTGGGTAACATGTTCATCCTCTCAGTCTCATTTTGGGAAGAGATGTGGGAACTGCAGCCAGAAGAAGAAACTATAATCAATTTGGTGTTAGGAAAAGTCAATCTTGTGTTATCTAGTATCTACTTCAGTTTCTTACATGTTCATTTTTACTTTCCATATTTGTTAATATTTTACTGAAGCACCCCCCCCCACATTTTTAATGAACCAGAGGAATACACTAAGAAATCAGTGAATACCTGTTCTATTTCAACCTGTGAACACAAAATAACAATTCATCTTGTAACTTCCTACCCAAGGAAAACTTCCTAATTGTGTTTTACAGAATATCAGACTTACACATTTTCCTAAAGACCCTGGGTAGTTATAAGAAAATTCATCAACTGTCAACATCAGTGATTGATATTACATACAGTGCAGTGAATCAGCTGACAAGTACGTATGAATGCTTGGCATACTGGAGAAAAGGGGGCCAAAACCAAAAATCAAATACAAACCCATAGCCTAATTCCCCCAAATTTCAATCATATTTGATGAAGAATGTTGGACATGCCTCAAACCCAATCCTGGTATTTATATTTTGCACAAACAACAGTCTCAGAACTAACAGGCAATTCTTCATACCCAAGACAGTGCCAATTATCTGCTATTTGCCGATGCAGAAATGCTTTTCACTCTAAATTTCAATGTGTAATGTGTAATCTGCTTTTATTTTCTGAAGGAAAGTGTTCTGCAAATGCTAAATGCATGGAACTGGTGGTGCCAATTCACAGAACAGAAATGTACATTTCTAGCTAAAGTCAACTTCATACTAAATGGCGACAAACACATTAAATAGATACTTACACATGTTTCCAAGCCCATCTGGAATAATAATCATTTAGTATACTGTTTCCCCCAAATATTTTAGATAAAAATGATTAGAGTAAGTTTATAGGAATACTGACTTACAACAGTACTCTATAATGGTCATTCTAATGAATTATATTTAAGCTGTCTTCATATTAATTAAGGATCTTAACATTAGATATAGCACCCATCAGTAATAATCTGACTTTGATAAACAGTGATTATGTAGAAAATGCAGAGTGAGAATAGTGGCCAAGAACAGTAACATCAGATTTAAATTTTAAATCAGCTCTACTGTTCAATGGCTATGTATTTTGGAGCAAATTACCTACCTACTCTGACTCTATTTCTTGGCCTACAAAATGGGAATTAGATTTATATCAAAGGACTAAAATGAGAATTAGGTCAGATACTCTACGTAAATTACTTAATGCAATATGAAGGAAATATTAAGCCAATAAGTATTAGCTACTGTTCTACTAGCCCTACCCTATGTTTGTATAGCAACTAAGACATTAAAAAAAAATCCTTCAATATATAAATGTTTTCATTTACTCAAGAATTCATTGAATGGCAGATTCATATGGTCATTACAACTGTGAGGTACACATGACAGTCCAAGACAAAAGGCATTCATTTAAAATTCTGAATTTTCCTATAGTAAATATATAAACTATTATTTTCAGGAAGCTAAAATTTTTCCCTTTAAACAATCAAGTCTCTCTGTGCTTCTGTTTGTTCTGTAGCATCTTTACCACTGCTGCCAGCCCCCATCAGACCATCCCTCTGCTCTTCTGCTGCACTGGCAATTGTTAGCACAACCCTAACTTCATAACTTGGCATATTTCATATTGGGGTTCCTTCCTAGGCTGTAAATTCCTAAAGGGAATTGATTCCCAGGACTTGTAGCTATGGATAAATGAAAAAAAAATTCCTATTGACAGATGGCTTCCATCCATCCTTTATTATTAATGGTATTTGAAAGAAATTTTAGGGGAGAAAGAAATTCAGTTTTACAAGAAAACATCTTATTCTCTACTGATGGATATTCTCATGTCCAAAATCAGAATGAACTATCATGATGCTGAGTAGGGAGGAACAATCACTTCCTTTCTCCTACGCACCAGCAGGACTTTCAGTAACATCTGACACAAGTCACATCCTGATTCATTTTTGATAGCTGTCCGCTGAATCCACTAGATTTTAAAAAAATGTTTTATTGTTGTGCTGTGTGTGGGTACAATGTAGCATTTACAAAGGTTCTTACAGTGTATCAAATATATCATACTGAATTCACCCCTTCTGATCTCTTTCATCTCTCCTCCCCTGATTCCTGGAACAGTTTCAACAGGTATCATTTTTGTATTTACATATATGTGTATACATTATTAGCACCTATTATTCATCCTTCTACTCCTTTGCCCTCCACCTTCCCACACCCTCCCCCACAGAACCTGTTCTCCAATTTTGTAGAAGAAAAAACATGAAAGATAAAAAGAGAAACATGGCGTTTTTGCTGGTTTGATACAGAGTTTCTTAAGTTGCCATTTTTAAGCTGTGGCACACTGAAGAGAGCTTTGTATCTGAAGTCAGTGACCATGGACAATTCCAGTTGTCTATAAAACAAGCAGCAGACTAGATCACTAAGCTCCAGCTTAGTTCTTTTCTATCACCTTCCATGTCCATGCAGTCTATTCACAAGGTGAGCAATTAAGTCTCTATATTCCCTTGCTTAAAAAATAAAATAAGCTGGGAGCTGGTGGCTCATGCCTGTAATCCTAGCTACTCAGGAGGCAGAGATCAGGAGGATTGTGGTTCGAAGCCAACTCAGACAAATAGTTCCATGAGACCCTATCTTGGAAAATCCCTTCACAAAAATAGGGCTGGCAGAGTGGCTCAAGGTGAAGGCCCTGAGTTCAAGCCCCAGTACCACAAAATAAGTAAATAAAGTGGCTTTTTCTAATCAATATACAAGCTAACACGTTCATTTTTGCTGGATGCACTACTACTCCAGCTACTTGAGTGGGAGGACCACTTGATTCCACGAGTTCAGGACCAGTCTGGGCAACACAGATAGACCCTGTCTCAAACCAAAAAATTACATTCTTACCGGATTTGCAACTGTCTACTAAGTCATCTTCCAGGATAACCTTCATAGATCGTGGAATACTTCCAACAGATAGTCTCTGAACCTAGCAAGGAAAAGAAAGCATACTGAATATGCTTCATAAATGCTAAGCATCCAGAACCTGTCAATACTTGAAACTGCCATTTCCATTTCTGGTATTATCATACAATTTTTATGGAGACTTAAGGATTATTCTTGAAAATTATGCCTGGCATCAATTTAAGAATCCACTAAGACCATAGTAAAATAAAAGCAACAATATGGAAAATATCTCCAAATAAACTCTTCCTTGTAGATGGTCAAAATAAATATATGTTCCAATTACTAAACCTAATGACAAAGCTACTTATCTAGAAAAGAGAGGCATTTCTTTCCTGATCTGTAGTCATAAGACCTGAGGCAATTCACCCAGTCCCTTCAGTTATTTCTTAATAATAGAACTCTGCTTTTATTCCATGTGGACATGTGCTTATTAGTAAATTGACAATATTTCTAGGTTCCATTGCACCTATGTGTGATCAAGTAAATTCTGGCCAATAAGAGAAGGCTTAAATGGAGGCTTGATTAGATGGCAGGTCCACCTGCACATTCTTCCTTTTTCCAGTTTTCTGACTAGAATACAGATGTGATGGAGCTCTAGCCACCATCCTGGACAACAGACAACCATAAGAATAGAAGCCATGCATTTAAGAATGGTGCAATAGAAAGACTCAAGTCTCAGTGCTCCACACTGAAGCACCTACATGCTAGTGTTAAATGCCTATTTCCCATTTATTTTAGATGAAAATAAACCTTTGTGCTTGAGGAAAGGAAAAACTCAGGCTTTTTGTTAAAAAGTATTTACATCTAGCACAATAAATAAAATTGAGCCAAAACCCCAAATCATGCTCTTGCCTATGCTTAACAATCAACTAACCCCTTAATTTTCTCCTATCCTCTAGTTAAGTACAGCTAGTTTAGAATTCTTAATATTCACTTTAATTTTAATATAATTAAGTCATTCCACAATCTTCTTTGCAATGCTCCATCTAAAACAATGATTATATATTTCATGGTTCCTAAAAGCTATATTCTTATACATGTACAACAGTTTCAGGCTTGATCTTCTACAAGTGATGACAAGAATCTATTTGTATCCATTCTATATTCCTTAATTCTAGCAATTTGACCATAGCAGAAAACCAATTCCTCATATTTGTTATTTTTCTCATTTATTTGATCATTTACCTGTTCCTGAATCTTGATTTCCTGATAATCTCTACACCTGGCTGGAGATGAAGACAAGCCTGAGAGGCAAGTGAATTTTGAGGAATCACAGCTCTCCAAGCTGGGACATGAAGATGGCCGGCAGAAGGTATAGTACTGCTCAAAGTCAGCCCTGACCACAAATACGTGCTTGCACTTGTTACACATGTAATCCCGCTCAAACTCCAGGACCTTCACCAGACTTGTTCGAATCACTGTCCCGGTGACAGATAAAAAGTGTCCTACGTCCTTGGTTTTTGGGATGTGTTCTCTCACCAGCTCAGGACAGATGGGCAAACCTGATTGGGGAAAAAAAATCATCATCATCAACTTACACCTTGATAGATGACTCCATGGAACAGTTCCTTGGAGAAAAGTCTTTGTGTTCTACTTTTAAAAAGTCAGACCATGAACCCAATTAAGAAAATATAGAAAAGATTTCAAGTAGCAGTCATCAGCGGACCCTTTTAAAAGCACATATTTAATCTGGATGTGGCAGTAGATGCCTGTAATCCCTACACTGGAGAGGCAGAGGCAGGAGAATGGAAAGTTCAAGGCCTGGGCTACATAGAGAGACCCTGTCTCAAACAACATCCAAAACAAAAACACATCTAGGCCGAGAAGCTAATAACCAGGACTTAAAAAAGAACTGATGTTCATAAGATAGCTGTGTCAGTAAGGTCTAAATACAGTATGTAATTATAACCACATCCAACAGAAAATATTGCCACCTGCTTGCTACTTGTAAAATCAATTGATGATTCTTTCAGTAAATCACAAAGCAGAGTAATACAGAGATGGTAGCATTTTTGTTGATTATAAATCACCACCTTTCTCAAACGTCCTATAAGCTAAATGGTAGGCACTCTACCACTTGAGCTATGCCCCCAGCCATTTTTTGCTTTAGTTATTTTTCATATATGGTCTCATGCTTTTTGCCTGGTAGCCTCAGCTCTTGATCCTCCTACCTACACCTTCTGCATAGCTGGGATTACATGTGTAAACCACCATGCCTTGCTTTGTTGAGATGGAATCTTGCTAACTTTTAGTTTGGGCTGACCTTCAACTGAAATGGTCCCTATCTTCACCTCCCAAGAAGTTGGGATTACAGGCATGCACAACTTTTCCTGGTTAAATACTTTTTAAAAAATTAAAAGGGCAAGTGTGTTCTCCAACTTAATCACAGAGTGCTTAAGTATTGTGGAGTCTGCTTTCAATTTCACCAAATCTTTCTTTCTCATAAATGGAATGAGACTGCACCAATCTTTATTAGTTCATACAATAATAGTAATTTTTTAAAAAGAAAGGTTTGAGGGTTGACAGGGACTGTATAGGGAGTTTGCATGTGAAGAAACCAAAACTTAGTCGGAATAACTTGCCAAGTCTCCCAGATTAGAGCTGCAGCTCTAACCAGTTATCCTCTAATCCAGATTTCCTTTCACCATCCCACACTATGCCTTCCAAGGAATTATTTCCATGAAATGAACTAGTGAAGAAATCATTACACTGTAGTGCTATTTTTTCCTAAAATTCTTAAGACTAACTCTTTAACTCTATTAAAAGTATTGGGGTTTGAACTCAGGACCTTGTGCTTGCTAGGCAGGTGCTCTACCACTTGAGACATGCCCCCATTCCAGTTTTTTAATTCTAGTATCATCAATTCTATTGCTAGTAGTCATAAGAATTTATAAAGCTGCTTTGGTTTACAATTTTATGCACACACAGAAATATATAAAGCAAGTCTCCATACCTCCTCCCTCCCCTCTGTTGACATGGAAAGTACCCCATGCCTACAGCAGATAATCGGTTCTGATTTAAAAGAAGTGACCAGCAGCTACAAAATAGATATGTATTTTAAGTATAAATATCAATTATTTCTTAGTACTCTGAATCCCATGAGCTGCATTTTCTTCATATCCTAGAAAATTACATGCCAGTAACATCTTTAAGTGATTTACCTGATATCCTGGCATGAAGATTCTGCTTCATAGAAACACCCTCAGGTTGAGAAAGGGACTCGAGAATTGTCAAGGCTGACCTTTGGAGTGCACTATCAAAAATAGTTAGTACTTCATTGGGGAACACGTTGAAATATTCTCCAATTTCCATGTTGGTCTCAAAAAGGGTCATGGCATTAACCACAACTGGGTAATGAGCATTCTCGTCTCTCTCCTTTAAGATTAGGAGAATATCATTCTTATGGTATTCTGAAACATAAGACTCGAACACTTGACCCACCAGTGTAACTTGATTGCTATTCATCTTGAACCTAGGTCACTGAAGAAAAAGAAAGGATGGTATTATAATTTTGATATTCAAAATCTAGGTACATTTTAACAAAAGACTGATTATAAATCATCCCAGTTTTGGGTCACATTGTAATCACAAAATAGCATCTGAATTCAAACCTTAATTCGATCTGAATTACCTATTATAGTTATATAAAACATGTACTTTAAAAAAGAAAGAAGTTAAATTTAATTCAAAGAATTAGATAGTACTGACTATAAAAATCCCAAAATGGTACAAAGGCTTTCTCATATATTTTCCAAAATCTTTCTTCTCATTAATCCTATAGTATATTAATACATTAATCAGATTGATAGCCAGTTCTAATGTGAACAATTAGTCACTTTAGAAATTTATATTTGGACGTGAATTTATTCCCTATTTTCTCTTTCTAATCTAGGAAAGCCACAGGTTTCAGCAAAAAACACTATCAACAATGTAAAGAAATTATAGACAAACTAAGGAAAGTAATATCATAAAGTCTTTAAATAACTATTCTTCATCTTTCATTTATCTGATTTCTTTGGCAATTCTTTTTTAAAAATGTGTATTTGCAATTTAAAAAGAGCCTACCCCTATCCTGTTTTCATGTATTCAGTCAGATCACAAGTCATACATGCACAAATCCAATTCAGGGTTCATTTTCTAACATCTACCGTGCATAAGACACTGTGCTTACAAATGGAAAGCACAGTACTGGGTGTTCTTTGTCCTCAGAGAACTAAGGGACAGGTCAAAATGCAATATAAATAGCACAAAGGAGAGGGTTATTAAATTTAAATGATGTGACAGTCTCGAGGTGTGGATTGTAACTACACTAGGCAGTTACAATGAAGAAACTTACTTGGTCTGGAAACAGCGCAAACAATATAAAAGGTGTACTTTAATTTGACTTATTTATCCAACACTCATCACAGTAGACCCACAAACATAAAGATTAAAGATTGTTATGAAGTTCACAGTTTACCATCCTCAGAAGGTATCACATATGCTATTAGCAATATTTGATCTTTTCTGCCAACCTAATGTGTTGGAAAGTGGAAAGGTATAAAAAAGATATCCCATAGTGAGGGCAAAAGCATTCCTAACTATGGGAGGCCAGTGTGAGGTTAAGAGGTGAGTCAGTGAATGTCCACAAGAATGAGTGATAAATCATAGCCACCACACTGACACGTAATTTCTTTTTGTTAAGTAGCCTAAATACTGCCAAGTGTAAAAGCATTTGAGAAGTAACCAACCACACAGTATTTTCATGATGCCTACTGCTAAAATAAAATAAAATAAGAAACACTGGACTCCCAAGAGTGGCTACAAGAGAATCTCTTAAGATTCTACAAATGCATATTAAGTGTAGCACCACAGGTTAACAATTTGAAAAACAGCTCCATATAGACCAGGAAGAGGGCAACTGCAGAATTCAAAGTTCAAATTAAGATTAGATGAAATTTCACCCAGTTATGTAAGGGGTGCAATGACAGAGGTGACTCCATTTTGGATGAGGGAGACACTTTAGGAGGAGAAATCTAAAAGGGCATGCGAAACAACAGGTTTCTCAGAAAAATCAAGCCTCTCACCAAAATAACAAAATGGAACTGCAAAATGTGGGCCCCAAGGCCAGGATGACAAGACTTTCTTGAAATGTTCTGTTTGTTAAGGAAGGAGACAGGCAGGTGGCCGGGTGCAGCCCAGAGTTGATTAGGCGCCAACCAATCACAAATGTAGTTTCAAGGCTGAATAGTTGAACCTAAGGCAGGCAGACCCCTATGTCACCCTTAGACTCCAGCTATACTATGGCTTTTCACTAAGCCCCTCCCTCAGGAAGCTTTACTGTCTTTTCAATAAACTTTGTGCTTGCTTTACTGTTAACTGTTTGTCCGGTGTCTTCAATCATCATCAACTTTGCCAGGATACGAACTTGGGATCAGCCATCCAATATCAGTTAGACCAGCAATTTAGATTGTTAAGTGGACCAGCTTTTTTGAAAGTAGCATTCTTTTTCAACACATTCTTTGAAAGTAGCATTCTTTTTCTGCACAAAACTGACTAGTTGTTTGCAAACTCAATAGACATGTCCATCCAAATAACAGACTTGAGACACTTACTGTTTTGAGTAAGGTCATTGCATAATTCTCAAATTCCCTTTCCTTTTGTCTTATTGAATATCTGGGGTCAAAATAAAATCAGTTTTGTTTTATTCTGTCCTTTTTGTCTCAGTGAAGTACCAAAACCAGAAAACTAAAAGGCACCTAAGGCAGGCTCCTGAGACACGAAGCCACGCCCCTTCCTTACCTGAGCTCCGCCCCCTCTCGGGGCGGGGTGAGCGCAGCATCTAAGCCCCGCCTACTCGTCCCGCTCTCGGCGGGCGCGCGCCATCCCTGCGCCCTCTCCAGGCCCGCGCGGTAGCCCGGCAAACGTGGAGTCGACTAGCTCCCAGAGGAATGCTTCCCACCCAAACTTTCTAAGCTACAGGTCCTCGGCAAGCAGGCTCTGCCCTGCGACACCTCAGCAGGTCTGACCTGTCCTGGGTTCTGCTCCGTGGTAGCTCCTCCGCGCGACCGATCGAGAAGTTAAAACAGTTTTTGAAGTAAAAAGACATGGACAAGACTTGGGACTAACTGCAGGAGAAAACAATAATCACCTTTGAAACGAGGCGGCGGCCGTCACTTACTGGCTGACACGCAGTCTGAAGTCGCCGGGACACGCTGCTCCCAAGGGCTTGGCAGCTCCAAGCTGCGCAGCGGGGTCGTCGCCGCGGCCCCCTAGGTGCCAGGAGCCGATGGGGGCGGGGCGTGCGCGCGGCCGCTCGAGGAGCGGCCGGCTGCGGGGGCGCGCAGGCTTCGGCAAGCCAGCCTCGCGAGGCTGCTCGGCCTGGCCTGCGTTCCCGACGAACGCCCGGCCGCGCACGGCCTCAACTTTCCAGCCCGGGTGGCGCTTCCGGGTGGAGACGCAAGCGGGCGCGCGCCCCGCCGGGCGCCGCAGGTCGCGAGCGGAGGGCGGAGCCGGGTGGGGCGGGGCCGCGTGGGGCGGGGCCGGGTGGGGCGGGGCCGGTGGCGTGCCTGGGCGCGGCGTGCAGGGTCGGGGCGGAGCTGGGACCGAGTGGCTAGCCCCTTGCTAGATGGAGCAGCTCGGGGTTGTATGAGATGGTGTGAATAAGGAGGCTAACACAGGACAACGATTCTCTCCTGTGCCTGCACAAGACTCTGGGTTTATCTCCGCCAATGCAATAACAAAAGATTCCCTAGCATGTTTTCTGATAGAAGTTTTGCTTTTACACTGAGCTCTGTGGTCCAATTATAGCTAATTTTTGTATGTAGTGTATTTATCTTAGGTCACTGTTTTGCCTATGGATATGTATTGGCACTTGTTCAAAGAGCTGTCTTTTTCCCACAGAATGGCTTTCGCATGGATTTCAAAAATAAGTCGTTATAAATCTGTTATGGGTCTACTATTAGATTTTCTATCCTGTATCAGTGATCTGTCTTCACACACACAAAAAAATTCCTGTAGATTCAGCATGAGTCTTGAAATCAGTGTTTGACTTCCATTTTATTCTTCCTTTTCAAAATTGTTTTGGCTTTTCTAAGTCCCCTCTGTTTTCACTTTCTGTTTTAAAATGGTGGGGTTTTGATTGAAGTCACATTGAAGCTATAGATCCATACAAGAATAATTTACAGGATGATACTATTGAGTCATATGACCCTTGAATTAAATAAACCCATTCATATAGGTGTTATTTCGTTCAATGTTTTTGTCATTTTTCAGATTTACTCATGTCAGGGATTTGAGAAAACTATATTCTTTGATGCTATACTAGACAATTTCCTATTGTTCTCTTTAATATGTAGAAATTCCATTGATTATTTTAATATTGAACTTGTATCTGAATTTTGTAAAAGCTATTTATGAATTCTAGTAGCTTTTTTTTTTTAAGATTTCACCAGATTTTCTTTTTTTTTTTATTGTTTTATTATTCATATGTGCATACAAGGCTTGGGTCATTTCTCCCCCCTGCCCCCACCCCCTCCCTTACCACCCACTCTGCCCCCTCCCTCTCCCCCCCACCCCCTCAATACCCAGCAGAAACTATTTTGCCCTTATTTCTAATTTTGTTGTAGAGAGAGAATAAGCAATAATAGGAAGGAACAAGAGTTTTTGCTGGTTGAGATAAGGATAGCTATACAGGGCATTGACTCACATTGATTTCCTGTGCGTGGGTGTTACCTTCTAGGTTAATTCTTTTTGATCTCACCTTTTCTCTAGTTCCTGGTCCCCTTTTCCTATTGGCCTCAGTTGCTTTTCAGGTATCTGCTTTAGTTTCTCTGTGTTAAGGGCAACAAATACTAGCTAATTTTTTAGGTGTCTTACCTATCCCTCACCCCTCCCTTGTGTGCTCTCGCTTTTATCATGTGCTCAAAGTCCAATCCCCTTGTTGTGTTTGCCCTTGATCTAATGTCCACATATGAGGGAGCACATATGATTTTTGGTCTTTTGGGCCAGGCTGACCTCACTCAGAATGATGTTCTCCAATTCCATCCATTTACCAGCGAATGATAACATTTCATTCTTCATGGCTGCATAAAATTCCATTGTGTATAGATACTACATTTTCTTAATCCATTCGTCAGTGGTGGGGCATCTTGGCTGTTTCCATAACTTGGCTATTGTGAATAGTGCTGCAATAAACATGGGTGTGCAGGTGCCTCTGGAGTAACCTGTGTCACAGTCTTTTGGGTATATCCCCAAGAGTGGTATTGCTGGATCAAATGGTAGATCAATGTTTAGCTTTTTAAGTAGCCTCCAAATTTTTTTCCAGAGTGGTTGTACTAGTTTACATTCCCACCAACAGTGTAAGAGGGTTCCTTTTTCCCTGCATCCTCGCCAACACCTGTTGTTGGTGGTGTTGCTAATGATGGCTATTCTAACAGGGGTGAGGTGGAATCTTAGTGTGGTTTTAATTTGCATTTCCTTTATTGCTAGAGATGGTGAGCATTTTTTCATGTGTTTTTGGCCATTTGAATTTCTTCTTTTGAGAAAATTCTGTTTAGTTCACTTGCCCATTTCTTTATTGGTTCATTAGTTTTGGGAGAATTTAGTTTTTTAAGCTCCCCATATATTCTAGTTATCAGTCCTTTGCAGTTTCAGTTTTTGCAGACTGCTGACCAGTTTTCCCAGCAGTTTTTGTTGAAGAGGCTGCTATTTCTCCATTGTATATTTTTAGCTCCTTTGTCAAAGACAAGTTGGTTATAGTTGTGTGGCTTCATATCTGGGTCCTCTATTCTGTTCCACTGGTCTTCATGTCTGTCTTTGTGCCAGTACCATGCTGTTTTTATTGTTATTGCTTTGTAATATAGTTTGAACTCAGGTATTGTGATACCTCCAGCATTGTTCTTTTGACTGAGTATTGCCTTGGCTATTCGTGGCCTCCCATGTTTCCATATAAATTTCACAGTAGATTTTTCAATCTCTTTAATGAATGTCATTGGAATTTTGATGGGAATTGCATTAAACATGTAGATTACTTTTGGGAGTATCGACATTTTTACTATGTTGATTCTACCAATCCATGAGCATGGGAGATCTCTCCACTTTCTATAGTCTTCCTCAATCTCTTTCTTCAGAAGTGAATAGTTTTCCTTGTAGAGGTCTTTCACATCTTTTGTTAGGTTTACACCTAGGTATTTGATTTTTTTTGAGGCTATTGCAAATGGAATTGCTTTCATACATTCTTTTTCAGTTTGCTCATTGTTAGTGTATAGAAATGCTAATGATTTTTCTATGTTGATTTTATATCCTGCTACCTTGCTATAGCTCTTGATGTCTAGAAGCTTCTGAGTAGAGTTTTTTGGGTCTTTAAGGTATAGGATCATGTCGTCTGCAAATAGGGATATTTTGACAGTTTCTTTACCTATTTGTATTCCTTTTATTCCTTCTTGTTGCCTAATTGCTCTGGCTAGGAATTCCAGTACTATGTTGAATAGGAGTGGAGATAGCGGGCATCCTTGTCTGGTTCCTGATTTTTTGATTTCACCAGATTTTCTACAATGCAGAATTTATTGTGAATAAATGCAATTTTACTTCCTCTCTGTTCTGGATATCTTTTATTTCATTCCCTTTTATTCTTGCAGTGGCTAGCAGCTCAAGTGCAATGCTGACTAAAAGTGATGAGGGAAGACATCCTTTCCTTGTTTCTGATTTTAGAGTCAAAGTATTCAGTCTTTCATTCTTAAATATGAAAGTTAGTTAGGGTTTTCTTGTTTTGTCTTTGCCATACTGAGGATCAGAACCAGGACCTTATACACACTAGGTAAACACTCTGTCTCTGAACTACATCTGTAGCTCTACTTAGGCTTTTTGTGCATGCTTTTTATAAAGACTGAAAATCTGTTCTTGTCCTTGTTTTTTGAGAGATTTGTCAAGAATGCTGAATTCCATCAATTTTTTTTCCTATATGATATGGTCATGTATGAAATTTTTAAAAATTTTGGATTGCATTGTGTCCACCTTAAAACAGGATATATTGTAGTCCTAACCCCAGGACCTGAGAATGTGACCTACTTCTAGATAAAATCTTTATAAAGGTAATCTTGTTAAAAGTATGTCGGGATAGGACTTTATCCAATATGATGATGTCTTCAGAAAAAGATGACCACTGAACACAGACACAGATGTAGGGAGAACATCATGTGAAGAGACAATGAGAGAGCATAGCCATCTACAAGCCAAGGGAACCTGAGGTTCCCAGAAGCTAGGATAGAAGCCTGCCTGGTTCCCTCCCTAGCACTTTCAGAGGGAACTTGGGCTTGACTATATTTGAATGTTGGGCTTCTGACCTCCAGAACTGTGAGAAAATAAATTATAATTGTTCTAAACCACTCATTTGTGGTACTTTATTATTATGGCAGTCATAGGAAACATGTATGTGGTAAGTTACATCAGTTGATTTTTGAATCTTAAAACAAATTCGCTTTTTTTGGAATAATTCCCACTTGGTCATTGTTAGGCACCAATTGAGCAAAGGGAACACAAGAGAGGGTTGGGCACATGCCTAGCAACATATTGATCTTGAAGGCTAAAAACAATCAACTATACAAAAGTTATATATATGTATATCATTCTGTCCAGTTATAGTAAAGAATGAGGGGGCTGCCAAGGCTCACTACCAGGCTCCAGGTCAAACCAATTGGGTTGACTAAAAGTTACCTTTGGGTCATTAAAATGTCATTTTAATCTAGTTGTAATTTGCCTTAAGAGGCAAAAAAGGAGGGGATTCAGAGAAAGATCACTTATATCATTTGAGATCCCCCCCCCACACACACCTCTTTCTTTTCTAATCCCTCTCACCTTCGCTCATTCCCACTTCTCTGTAATGCTGCCTCTCAATGAACATTGCTGCTGCTTTCACTGTTTCGTGTTTTGCTTGAACTCTTGCACAGGCACAAGAACAGAGGATTCCAACTAAAAATCTAGTAATAGTCATGATGTATTACTTTTTTTTTTTCCCCTCACTGCTGGAAATGGAAGTCAAGGCCTTGCTTTGCACATGCTAGGCAATTGCTGTACCACCGAGCTATATCTTCAGCCCTATTCTTTGTATATATTGTGTAATTTGCTAACATTTAGTTTAAATTTTTTGCATGTATGTTTGGGATATTGATCAAGTTTTTATTTGCTGGCATTATTTGTAATATCTTTGCCTTGTTTTTTAAAATCAGTAATGCTTTCCTGCCAGAATGAATCAGAAAATTTTCCCTTCTATTTTTGACTTTCTAGAAAAATTGTGTAAATTGGTATTTCTTTCTTAAATGTTTATTAGAATTCACCAGCAAATTAATTTGGACTGAGAGTTCCCTGGAGTTTTAACTCTAAACTCAAATTTTTTGATGAGTTAATTTAGGTTATTTTTGAATTCTGGTAGTTTGTCTTTCAATTAATTTGTTTCATCTCCATTATTTAACTTATGAACATAGAG